AGTGTCCCTGCAGACTACCAGGGCCTAGAGGACCCCTCCAAGCCCCATACTGACCCACAGCCATGGATGGCGCAGGAGGGAAGGAGTCCACAGGCACCGAGTCTGGCGGTCGTCCGTACGTCATTTCATACAGTAAGTGGCCAAAGCAGTGGACGTCCACACTTTCCAACGTCTGAGGAAGAAAGAGCAGCAGCTGTTCATCCTTCAGAGTGACTCGGCGACCCCCCAGAGCTCCTGCCCAGGCTGCCACTGAGAGGCAAGGCCGAGACAGCCCTGCTCCTAACTGGTAGTAAGAACGCAACTCCAACGCCCTCTGTAAAAGCTCACAAGGCACTGCTTCGACCAAAGGTCTTTTTTTTTTTGGGGGGGGGGGGAGGTTTGCCATAGGGCATGTGAACTTGCCAGAGACAAAGACAATGAGAGGGAAAGTGTGAAATCGCCCCTCAGGGGGGCATGGCCACACTGCAATTCCTTCTCCATTCTCCTGGGATTTTGGACATACATACACACGTGCTCAGCATGATTTTCAAGCGGCCAGATCTGAGACTCAAACCACAGTCAGCCATGTAGGAATCCAGCACTGTAAACACCATGCCACGGGTCGGCCCCTTGACCAAAGACCTTGGTCCTTCCCTCCATGGTTTTCCAGTGGTTCCATTCCCTGCCTTGCCCGGCCTGCCATTTCAGCTCAGCCCCTCAAGACACAGCAGTGTTCTGTGTGGGCGACAGGGCCAGGCAGGGCTGCCTGACGGTGCCTTTCCTGCTCCGTGCAGCTTTCCTGCACGCAGATCCCGGGTCCTGCTGTGGGCGATTTACACCCGGACGTGGACCTGCTGCTTCGTTATTCGGGTAACGTACATTGATTTTCCTGAATTGTGAGAAGTAAGACCGGTAGAAGGCAGGCAGGCCCAACAAGGAATTCTCGAGGTCTAGCAGCCGGCACGTGTCCCCGTCGAGCATCACGTTGCAGGCATGGAGATGCCCGTAAGGGAAGCCCTTGTCGTGCAGAAACTTCAGTACCTACGAGAAAACACGTTCAGGTTACCTTCCCCCCACTCGTTCGGATATAAAATAGGTTACACACTTCATGTTTCTGTGGCTATGCTTGGTTTATTTTTACATATTTGCCATAGAGCATGTGTGCTCACTGCCGGAGACAGAGAGGGAAAGTGAGAAATCTGTCCCTGGGGGATGACCAGTTGCAATCCCTTCTCCTCCTTTCTCCTTTTGGAGTTTTGGGGGTGCACATACATGTGCCAGCATGTTTCTCAAGGTGCCGGATCTGGGGCTCGCACTGCACAGTCTGCCATGTGGGACCCACCCGTGTTCACCACCATGCCATGGGCTGGCCTGTTTTTGGTGGATCTTTTTTTTTTTTTTTTTTTTTTTTTTTTTAAGAGAGATTTTCACTGTAGGGCGCGTGCGCTCGCCAGACAGACAGAGAGAGACATAGAGACAGAAAGCGAGAAATCACCCCCCAGGGGGGATGGTCACGCCGCAATCCCTTCTCCTCCATTCTCCTCTCGGGATCTTGGGCACGCACGCACACGCGCCCGGCGTGAGTTTTAAGCCACCGGGTCCGGGACACGAACCACGGTCGACTACGTGGGAGTCCAGCGACATAGCCATTATGCTAACTGCTGGTTCCCTGTTTTTGGTGGATCTTCATCTCTGCACCGATGTTCGCTGTCATTATGTCATAGCTGTAACCTGATGGCTCCCTTCCGGAAGTGCAGCAGGTAGTGAAGAGCCGATCCCACCTCGCCCTGGATCAGTATTCTCTCGGCTTCTGGGACTGCAACCACGTCAGTGAATGACAATGTAGCTATAACCTCTCCCCTGCAATGTTAGGTGTAACCACAAACTACAGACATTGTTATATGTAACGATGAGTTACATACATGAACTAACATATTTTGTTCATCCTAAGCTTAAAAAGAACAAGACCGACAGCAACTAGAAGAGCAGTTGTATTTTCTGCAGTCTCAGCGGAGGGCCCTGGGCATCCTCCTTGGCACTTGGTGCTGAACCTCACCAGGTCTTCGCGGGCCTCCCTGTCACTGAGCGAGCCACTATTATTTCAGTGGCAGCTGGAAAGGGGACTTCTTTCTACGGGAGCCTGTGGTGTGTTTCTGTCAGTAAAGAGCTCAACACATTGGGAGGAGAGATGGGACCAGAGAGGTTTTCAGCTCCACCCGTTTTCCGGAATAACTGGCAGAAGCACCGATAATGATGCTTTACCCATCCACGTGCAAGGGTCCAACTTTGCCCTGGAGAGAGCTGGCCTCCTGGGATCAGCAGAACCTTCTGGCATCAGAGTTCACAACCTGGAGCAGACGCATGCTGCCTCTGTTCTCTGGGAAGGAGGGCACTTGGTACCATCACACATTCAGCATCTTCTTCCCCAAGAAGATAGATGCAGGTGCCATTTTTCTTCAGAAATGTCTCTAGTGCCCAGTTTGATTTTGTGTCAAAACATATTGACTTTAAGAAACAAACTTTAGGGAAGCCGGCAGGTGGCATGGTGGTTAAGGGCACTGGACTCCCACATGCCCAACCACGGTTTGAGTCCCAGACCTGGTGGCTTGCTTTCTCACTTTCCCTCTCTCTCTCTCACTCTGTCCCTTTCTGGGCAAATTTAATAAACAAACAAATAAATAGTTAAATAAAATAATTATTAAAAATAAACTTCAGGGGGCCAACAGATGACATGGAGATTATGGCAGCTCAATTCCACATGGCTAACTGGGCAGTTGAAGTCCCAGATCCAGTCTCCTGAGAAACATGCAGGGCACACATGTATGCATGACCAAATCCCGAGAATAGAGGAGAGGAGATGGTGGTATGGCCGCCCTCCCAAGGAAGGTGCATTCTCTCCCTCTCTCTGTCTCTCCCTAGTGAGCACACGTCCTCTGGTAAAATTAAAAATAAATAGGTGGTATAGTGGTTAAGGAGCTGGATGTCCACGTGACAGACTGCGGTTCAAGTCCTAGATATGGCAGCTTGAAACAAACACCAGGCACTTGTGCGTGTGTGCCTAAAATCCCAGAAGAACGGAGGAGAAGAGACTGTGGTGTGGCCATTCACCCTGTGGGATGACTCCTCACTTTCTCCCTCACTGTTTCTGTCTCTTTCATGAGCACATGTGCCCTAAGGTAAAAACCTGAAAAAAAGAAAATTATAAATAAATAAAAGATTCATCAAAGATAATATGAAAGTTGCTATCCATGCAGTAAGGTTCTTAAAAATCAGGCAGTACATTGAAATCACTAAAGCTCTTAGAATTTTGCCTATCTAAATTAATGTCACTCTAGTCCCAAATCTTTGCTTACGAGCCAAACTATGGCAATGCCATCACTTCATAAGTAACTAGCAACTGAAGGGATTTTGGATATTGCCTAAGAACTTATCCAAAACAATAACAGAATTCTGGATGAAATACTAATGCGCCTTAAACAAAAATTAAACACCTCTTACCTCTAATATTTGCCGTCCGTACGTTTTTATTTGTTGGAGTTCGAGGCCCTGGATCTTCTTAGGGTTGCAGTATTTCTTTAGAAATGGGTCTTTTGGTTTTGCCTTTGGGAAGGAATAAAGAATGCGTGAGGTGGCAGCCGAGGGCTGAGCTCTGCAGACGGGCTTCCTGAATAGGAGGAACTCTACAGAGGCTGAGACCCGGGGCTGCCAGCTGCCAGGGATGGTGGCCTGTAGGGTGGGGTTACAAACACAACGCTCTGTGTGGCTAATAGAAGGAGGCTGACGTGGCCCTTCTCTAACCAGTGAAGATACGCCTGGCCTTGGCCTCAGCAGGTCTCCAAGTCTTGCACGCTGTCTGGATTCTTCAGGACTGCTGTGCTAAGTGCAAGGCACGAACTTTAAAACTGAGCTAAGACGGGCACAGGTGGCACGGAGGTTAAGGAGCTAGATCTCACAAGTCTGACAGCGCGGTTCCAGTCCCAGACCCCATGGTCTGAAAATCACGCCAGTGTGTGTAAGACGGCCCTGAATACGCACGGGCTGGGGCTGTCTAAACCACTGTCATCTTAGGAGGTGGAATGCAGCGTGAGAACCCTGTTGGGCATGTCTGTTCATCTTTCTCTCTCTTGCTCAAGAAAGAAAGAAAGGAGCTTAAAAATAAATAAATAAATAAAACAAAAACAAAACAAAAGCTAACCTAAGAAAGCAGCCTGCAATATGATGGACATAATCAGTAAATGTTCAACTTTGGGGCCAGTCCCACAGCTTAGCGTTTAAAGGAGCGAGATCCCACGGGGCTGATCATGGTTCGAATCCTAGCCCCAGTGGCTTGAAAACACAAGGGACGTGTGCGCGTGCCCCAAATTTTGATGACAGGAAGGCAACGGAGGAAAAAGGATTGTGGCATGATTATGTCCCAATGGGTGTTGCTTTTTCTCCCTCCCTCTTTCTCTCTCTGACAAAGTTCAGCCTTTTCTCATGTAGGAAGTTTAACTGAAGTGGGTGGCATTGTTACTGCTAAAATAAAAATAGGTTAAAAACAAAATCGAAATCTTCAGGGCCTAGCAGCGAGAACCTTAGGGATCAAGTATCAATAATGGGTTCTAAAGGGACAGGAGAACTTTATGGTCATGGACTTGCCCCACACGTACCTTGTAGATCAGATCCTTCAAAGTCCCTTTTTCATTGAACGTCCTAATTAGCAATGCTGAGGATTCATTAGCTGTGGCAAAGGTAACCCGGTAGATGTAAGGGTGCTGCAAAGCAAAAAACACCCACAGTGATGAGCGTCAGAATCTAGGTCCCTTCACACACAGGGCCTGGTTACACCGAGTCAAATACCGCCTCAGTAGCTTAGTTGCACACAAATGAGGCACTATTCCCTGAATGCGAGACATTTCCAAGTTATTAGAGGATCAGCCAGTTCCCCCTTCTTCAGATGGGAGAAGGAACATCAGCATACTGACTAGAGGAAGTGGATCGCTTCTGTGGTAAGCTCCACTGCGAACAATCTGCTTTGGTGTTGCAATCCCGTGGTTCAGGCAAAAATGTGGTGGAAAGAGGAAAAGTCTGAGTTTGGGGATGATGGTGTTAATAACCTGCCCTGTAACTGAGTAAAGAATCCAGCCAAATCGCAGAACAGCCACGTGACGACCGGGATGAACGTGTCTGCTCCCAGCTCTGCCCCACACTCGACCTGTCTGTGTGGGGGCCACGCCAGGAAGCACGACAGCTAAGAAACAGGCAGAAACAGTGTCTGTTGGCATCTCAGCCCTTCTCCAAAGCAGCGGCCATGAACCTTCCTGCCCTTCTTCAGAAGTCTGCAATACGCTCCTCAGATGGGAACACTGGTGTCAACCAAGGGGGGGTGGGGAAAGGACACATTACTTAATGACGGGAAGGGAAGTCCTCACAGGCCCTGGAATTCTGGTGACAGGAACAAGCTAGCTCCAGACGGGTATGACAATGGAGTATCGTGAACATTTAGGCTGAGCTGTGCAGGGTTTCTGTGGTTGGTGTGGCGGGGGTTAGGGCATAAAGGGTGTGCCCCAAAAAACCCAGTAGTAGATACGACGTTCCTCCCGATCCTCACGTCAAATGATTGCTGCTGATTTTTTCACGCTTTTATTGATTTAATTCATATACCATTACAATGTGCCCATCTGAAGTGCACTGGCCAATGGTTTTCAGTGTACTTATACAATTATGCAACCAGCACACAATGTAATTATAGAAGATTTTCATCACACCAAAAAGAAATTCATTAAATAAGTTAAAAATCCTTGAGTCCATACTGAAAAAAAGAGGGAAGAAAGGAAGCTCTTCTTGCTGTAGAAGGCCAACTAATAAATACAGGAGAAATGATGGCGTTATAAAAATCACACTGAAAGCTAAATGAGCAGGTTTGATAAAGATGAGAATATTCATGCAGTCTCGAAAAATAAGTCTACATTACTTCTCAATTCATTCTAGGTATTTATCTTTTTTAAAAATCATTATTTTATTTAAATTTATTTATTTACTTATGTTCATTTGACCAGAGAAAGAGAGCGAGCGAGTGAGAGAGAAAGAGAGAGAAAATGAGAAAGCAAGCTGCCAGGCCTGAGACTTGAACTGTGGTCGGCCATGTAGGAGTCCAGTGCACTTAACTACCACGCCACCTGCTGGCCCCAAGGTATTTATCTTAAGAAAATAATTGAGGATGGGGGCGATGGCTTGAGTGTCTCCCCCAAATTCATGTGTTGATATTCATGGTGCTGAAAGGTGGGGCCTTGGGAGTGATTAGGTGATGAGGGGGGCATGATGGACTCCTGACGGGTTTACAAGGAGAGGCTCACACAGACCAACAGAGAGCCCTGTGCTCCTGCTCACTCAGGATGCGCCCCCCACGGCCTCGGGACCCCACCAACAGGAGAGCCCCCACCACATGTGGCACCTGGACCTTAATCTCTAAACAGTGAGCTGAATAAACCTCCATTGGTATGAATCATCCCGTTTCAGGTATTTTCTGTTATTAGCAACAGAATGGTCTAAAATAGATGGGTATGAATGTTTAGTTCAAATCAGGGGCCAGCTCTCTGGGTGTATGTGTGCGTCTGTACCCAAAATCTGACAGAGTGGAGAAGGGACTGCAGTGTAGCCATCACCCCTGGGGGATTTTCTCTTTCTCTCTCTGGCAAGCACATGTGCCCTGTAGCAAATTTTTTGAATACTCAAAAACATATTTAAAGTTCCACGTTTCATGAGTCACACAGATGTTATAGATGCTATTATAAAGGGCCTCCGATTTATAAGGATAGGCTCTGTCCACGCATACCCACGAGAAAACATGGCGAGCCTGTGATCAGAACCGAGAATAACAGAAGGACGTGTACTCACCAAACAGGAAGGCAGAAGTTTGATTAGACTCTGAAAATCTTTATCTGCCAAGTACTTGTCTGGGCCAAGGTCAGCCTGCAAACGGGGAGGAGATATCAGGGTGCTGCACCGTCATCTAAAGAAGCATTCCTCATCATTCTTTCTCCGCCATTTTAATTTCTCCAAGTATGTGGCAGACGAAAGCCACACTAGCTCCTGCTGCCTCGCGGCCTGTCTGGGGAGGCAGTGTGTAAAACGTACAACTGTAATCTTATCTAACTGCATGAACCAAAGCTATCAGTAGAACTCCCCAGCTGCAACAGAGAAAGTAAGGCCTAAGTGAGATTTTCTTTGGAGATAAACTCCAAAACTATCAGTCTACAGTGATTCCAGAGAACTATTTTAAGCTGTTCCTATTTCTTTTTCTTTTTAAATTATTTATTTAATTTTACTTATTCATTCATTCATTTTAATTTGACCAGAGGGAGACTAGAGAGAAAGAGAGAGAGAGAGAGGGAAAGTGAGAAAGCAAGCCACCAGGTCTGGGACTTGAACAGTGGTTGGCCATGTGGGATTGCCCAGTGCCTTAACCACCATGCCATCTGCTGGTGCCAAGCTGTTCCTATTTCTTTCTAAGTGTTTACTAGGTGATCAAGCATAATCAAATGTAGAGCAAAGTGATGTAAAATGACCTCTTTGACATGGGACTGAGGAAGCCTTTACGTCGTCACTAAGAGCACAGAACTTTATAATTTTCTCATCAACTCTCCTTTCATAAACCATCGAAAGCCCCTTAAATGAGACTGAAATAAAAACTCCAGCTTACCCAGCTCAACACTAGCCGTTCCTTTGGCTGATTTTTAATCTTCATCAAGAAATATTTCTTCCTTATCCTCCAACCTGCCATAAAAGCAGAGATGTAATTATAGCTACACGATTTTTTTTTTTTGAGAGATTTTCACTATAGGGTGCATGCGCTCGCCAGACAGACAGAGAGAGACATTAGAGACAGAAAGCGAGAAATCACCCCCCAGGGGGGATGGTCACACCACAATCCCTTCTCCTCCATTCTCCTCTCGGGATCTTGGGCACGCACGCACACGCGCCCGGCGTGAGTTTTAAGCCACTGGGTCTGGGACATGAACTGTGGTCGGCTACGTGGGAGTCCAGCGACATAGCCATTACGCTAACTGCTGGTTCCCGGGTAGGAACCAATAAAACAATCATTTGATAAAGTTGGTATGGTGACAGTTATACTAAAAAAAAAAAGAACGAATTACTATATACATGGAAATAGTAGGAAAACAACATTTGTGTTTAATGTAAAAGAGAGATGAAGAATGAATGGTGTTCTGAAAGTTACTACCATCCAAATCCTCTGATGGGGCATTAACCATGATTCATGCCCAAAATCCCAAGAAGAGAACAGAGGAGAAGGGATTGTGGTGTGGCCATCTCCCCTGGGGGGATGATTTCTCACTTTCTGTCTCTTTCTCTCTCTCTCACCAGTGAGCACATATGCCCTATATCAAAAACCTCCCACACACACAAAAAAAGTTAAAATGTTAAAACTTAAGGACTAGGGTTAGTCTATTGTGTGGGGGTTAAGATAGCTGGATCCCACATGGTCCAGTGGCTTGAAAAACATGCCAGGCACGTGTGTGTGTGTGCCCCCAAATCCTGAATGGTGAGATGAAGAAGAAGGAATTGTGACTGGTCCCCATGAGCGGGTAATTTCTTACTATTCCCAACACCAGCAGCACACCTGCCCTCTAGCAAAAAAGAAAAAGTGACCTGCATTTGAGAGCCGTCTTAGGAAACCCATCAGAAAGCAAGACTAAGAATCTAGTTCTGTGACCTTTTTAATGAAGCGAGCGTGCCAGTTTCTCACCTATGTCTTTTAATGGCTCTACCACCTCCCACTTTGGTTCTGATCGGAAG